ATGTGTGCCTGTCGGGGTGTACGTGTGTACGTGTGTGTGCGTGAGCATGTGTGCATCTGTGAGGGTGTGTGTGTGCATGTGTGCCTGTGCGTGTGTGGGTGTGTACATGTGTGTGCGTGAGCATGTGTGCCCATGTACCTGTGCGTGTGTGCGGTGTACGGGTGCATCTGCAGGCTAGCACAGGTGCTCTCCCTTCCAGCTGTTGCCGTCATCGTGTGTGCAGCCTCCTGCTGCCCCCAGGCATGGTTTCTGCCCTCTGTGCTCACATCCCCTCGGTAAAAAGGGATGTTTTGCAAAGTCCCTGAGCTTCCAGGTGGAAGCAAAAACCAGGAGAGGGCATTTCCTGGAAGACTATAAACCAAGCTGATTCATTCTTTCAGTTTAAAAACTTGTAACGCACATCCAGAGATAAGACACCCTCTCTGCCCTCAAGGCACCCAGGCCCAAGTTCGCAGCCACCAAGAAGAGCACGGGGAGTCCTGGCAGATGGAATGGGGGCCCGGTGGGAAAGCCTCCTGGCAGATGGGGGCCAAGAGGAGGCCTTGTGGGGATGAGGGGCACAGCAGGGCTGAGGGGCTGGGCAGAGCTGAGGGTCTGAGGGCCCTGGCAGGGGGACTGGAACCCCGGGCCCCACGGTTAGGGGGTGCAGAGTGGAGCCAACCATCCAGACCACCCTCCTGGGCGCCGAGTGGACATCCTCAGTGGACCCTGGCCCAGCTGGCAGTCATGGGCTCCATCCGGGGCCACAGTTGAATCAAGGCTCATCCCAGTCATCAGGAGCCTGGCCCCTGGCCTCCCAGGCACCTTCTCTGTCACAATCAGGGATTTGCTGGACAAGCCATGAGCCTGCCCAGAAAATCTGGTCTTGTCAGCCCCGAGAAATTTGAATCTTTAGGCTGTTTCTTGGTGTTTCATCATCCATTTTCATCAAAACTAAATGAAACGTGATTAATGAGGCCAAATCCCCAACCCCCTCTCAGCTCAGTCACACAGTAATTGAAGTCCTGTGTGGAAGCTCTGTAGGTCTGAACAGGTTTCATCAGGGTCCCTGATCCAGGGCTCTCGTCGAGCAGACCCTCACCCACCCCACACTGGGAGGCACAGTGTCCTCTTCTGTTAAAGCAAGGGTGGGTCCAAGGCGCCTGCATTTCGTTGTGCCTTCACCCTGCCGTGCGTGCTGTATTCCAAGAGGCCAAAGCAACCTCTTCTGCCGCTGGGACGGCCCACCCGCTGGCTGTCCAGAGGCCAGCTGGCAGTGACCACTGAATCTGACCCAAGAAACAGGAGCCTCGAGGGACAGATCCCCTCCTGGGGAGGGGGCTGAGTTTCTAACGCAAAGCTGGCCTTGAGCTTTTTATGTTTTTTGTTGTGACACACTTGTGGAAGATTTAAGTCCACAAAAAGGCCATGAGGAAGACCTTTCTTAAGACATATTTCTGAACATTCCTTTCCTCCATTTTGAAATGGTAACATTTTAACACAGACATCAGACAGTACTGAATGATGTTAATTATTTCTAAATAAATAGAACACAATTTGTAATCTTATCTAAGCTAAAATAACCCACGCTATACAATCTATTTAAAAATTACTCCTTGAATACATTTAATTTTTAACTGCAAGATTAATCTTTGTAAAATTATGAATATAAAACATTCAGCATATTTGGTGCATGTGAACAAAAGGAAAAAAATGACTTTCCTTATCATTTCAAATACTGCAGTTTTAAAATACATATTTAAATACACTGTATGTCAGCGCGTGAACACACATGTGCGTGAATACAGCTACACTGTCCGTCATTAGGCCAGGACTCAAGGCCAGACACACGGCCCTTCATAAAACACGGTGGACTGCCTGAGTCTTCCTCGTGTGTTACACCTGGTTAAACTCGCCCTCTCCTAATTATTGGGAAGCTAGTCCCATTTTCATCTCATCCTGGGCTCCTCTGGGTGACTCTGAACAATGACCTTCCTTTCCGCTCAGCGGCTGGCCTGCCCCGGCCCCAAGCTGCCTGAGAAGCTGCTTCTGTGCAGGAAAGGAAGATCTGACCAGGGAGGACGAGGCTGCGTTGGCCTTTCACTGTGAATTTGAGGTTTTATTGCAGTAAACACGTCACTAATTTATAGTTCCCCGGAGCAAAATGAGCGAAATTGGAAATAAAGTAGATGTTCCCTCTGGGAAATCACTGACAAGGATTTTGGAGGGCATTTTTCCTGGCAATTTCAGGAGAGAGGACCATTCTCTTCAGGTTTCTTTCTTGATTGGAAAGACCGACTCTGAGGGGCTGAAGGGGGCATTTGTGGGCCAGGGGGGCCAGTGAGCAGAGGCGCCCAGGAGCAGATTCACCTGTGCGTTTGTCCCTAAACGTGACCCCTCATCATCCAGGAACTACAGTTCAAGGAAAATCAGATTCCTTCCTGTCTAGTGTCTCTTTTTTGCATTTTTACAAAGAGATACAGGTCCCAGGTACCCACAGGTCTTGCTTACTCGTCTCCAGATGGTTCAGGTACCTAATCCTGTTGTCTGCCCACAGTAAGAGATGGAGACACCCTGCTACCTTCACAGGGGATTTGAGAATACTGTGATAGTAGAGAGAGATGAGAGCTGCCTCTCTAACCTGACCTTTTCAAGAAAAAATAAATGTTAAGTGCAAATACTTTCTGATCATCAGAACGAAGGTGTGATTTGGCTTTATGATGTGAGTTTCTACAAGAGTGTCCAACAGAACTTTCTAGGGCTATGAAAATGTCCAGTCTGGCAACCATGGCCATGCGTGGCTCCCGAAAGGGTGGTGAGGCTGAGGCACTGCATCTCTGGAGGTATTCTGCGTTATTGATCCAGATTTAACAGCCACACCTGTCAAGTGGACAGTGCCGCGTAGAACCTTGGACTTCATTGACCTGTTCTTTTTTAACATTTGCTTCTTTATTTGGCTGCGTCATCTTCCTTCTGCAGGGGGAAGGGGGGCGGGTTCTCCCTAGGCGCAGCATGTGGGTGTCGTTGCCCCTTGACCTGTGGATCTTAGTTCCCCAACCAGGGATCGAACCTGAGTCCCCTGCACTAGAAGGCAAACTCTTAACCAAGGGACCACCAAGCAAGTCCCAGTACTGTTCTTTGTATATAGTTTTACTGTATTTTAATACACATTCAGGAATATTTTATTCCTGCAACCAAATCATTTACAAATTTTTAATTATCTGTGGCCTAAACATTTTTGTGGTATTATTAACACACTGAAAAATAGGTTAGCCCTTTTACATTTACAATGTCCTCTTTTTAATTTCATGCCATTTAGACATCTTACTCGTCTCCAGATGGTTCAGGTACCTAATCCTGTTGTCTGCCCACAGTAAGAGATGGAGACACCCTGCTACCTTCACAGGGGATTTGAGAATACTGTGATAGTAGAGAGAGATGAGAGCTGCCTCTCTAACCTGACCTTTTCAAGAAAAAATAAATGTTAAGTGCAAATACTTTCTGATCATCAGAACGAAGGTGTGATTTGGCTTTATGATGTGAGTTTCTACAAGAGTGTCCAACAGAACTTTCTAGGGCTATGAAAATGTCCAGTCTGGCAACCATGGCCATGCGTGGCTCCCGAAAGGGTGGTGAGGCTGAGGCACTGCATCTCTGGAGGTATTCTGCGTTATTAATCCAGATTTAGCAGCCACACCTGTCAAGTGGACAGTGCCGCGTAGAACCTTGGACTTCATTGACCTGTTCTTTTTTAACATTTGCTTCTTTATTTGGCTGCGTCATCTTCCTTCTGCAGGGGGAGGGGGGGCGGGTTCTCCCTAGGTGCAGCATGTGGGTGTCGTTGCCCCTTGACCTGTGGATCTTAGTTCCCCGACCAGGGATCGAACCTGAGTCCCCTGCACTAGAAGGCAAACTCTTAACCAAGGGACCACCAAGCAAGTCCCAGTACTGTTCTTTGTATATAGTTTTACTGTATTTTAATACACATTCAGGAATATTTTATTCCTGCAACCAAATCATTTACAAATTTTTAATTATCTGTGGCCTAAACATTTTTGTGGTATTATTAACACACTGAAAAATAGGTTAGCCCTTTTACATTTACATTGTCCTCTTTTTAATTTCATGCCATTTAGACAGATTAAAACTAAATATTATACAAGTTTCACAGTGTTTTTTTCAGAATAGAATATTTGCATGTTGCACCAAAACCTTTTTGTTTTGGACCAGTCAGGCAGCTTCGATATAAGGTAGTGGAAAGCCTCTGTTATTTTTAAAATACATTTGACTTTATTACTTTCAAACTTGTACAGAAATTCAAATCTGGTTAAGCAGGTGTCATCAAAGAGCGCCTCGGGCCCCTTCTGTAGTAACTAAATAAGCCTGGCTGATAATCTGCATATACATTATTAGTACCTGGGGCGAGGAAGTGGTCAGAAGCCTGCTCTCTGTTCCTGGCTGGAATCTTCCTCTTGCAAGCTTGCTTACTTATCCCCCTAATTAGCCTACCTGTCAGAAGAGCTGCTCCACGGAGGGGACCTTCAGCCCCGCCCTATCCCAATTATCCTTGGCGTCTGGATTCTGAAGATGTCACCACAGAGCACAGGGCAGAGTCTGGGACTCAAGATAATAACTTGATTTTGCTCGTTTTCAACGCCAGGGCTGCAGAGAGCAGTTCCGTCGTGGCGTCCATGCTCAGGAGCGTGTGGCCATCCGGCCCCACTCCGTGACCCCTGCCCGGGCAGGGGAACAGCAGCTTCGCGTCACTCCGCTCATCCTCCTGTGGGCAGGGGCTTTGGTGCTGTCTTACTCCTTCCTTCGGTTGAGTTGAACCGTACTGGGGTGTGCAACCACACGTGTGAGTGGGTCTTAGCTGAGAGGGGGCACCGTGTGCTCTTAACAAGATCAGGGAATTTTTAAATGACTTTTTGGGAGCAAGGCTACTATAAGCTCAAAAAATTGAGAATGTAGGGGAAGAAAAATTACGTATAATATCATCTCTTTACTAAATACGAGTTAGCTTTTTTATTAATCACATTTATTGAGGATCTTGAAGGCTGCTTCTTCGTGTACCATGCAGGTTATGGAGTCTTTAAAAGGTGCATCATATTCCTGGGGGTGGGGGTGGTGATTCTGTAGCTTCCTTCTTGACATAGAACAATGATCAACCACAGACACCCAGCCCGGGAACACGGGTGGCTGGCGCGTCAAGGTCCACCCGTCCTTGTCGCTGGGAGTGGGCGGTTAGGACCGCTGGTGGATTGCAGATGGAGCGGCACCCTAGGAAGCCCAGTGATGAGCTCCGGGCACATACGTCTCATTTTATAGACCCGCCAGCTCCTGTAGTCAAGCCTTACACACAGACGACAGGCCAAGGGTGTGTGCTGTTCCCTGGATTTGCATGTAAACCCCTGTGTGGACTCTGGGGGCCCGTGAGGGGCAGCGGGGGAAGGTTCTGGAACATGAAGCAGCGCGTCAGGGCTCAGACCCCGTCAGGCCTCCAGGACTCAGAGCTCCAGTCCGAGGAGGTGGGTGTCAGTGCAGCAGGGTCGTCACCTGAATCTTCACCCATCACACCGGCCCTGCATGGAGGATGGCTTGCAGGTTGGCGAGGGTGGGGAGGAGGCCTGTGGGGAGGCGTTGGTGACTGCCAGGACTTGAGGTGATCCCAAAGATGAGGTCAGGAGCAAAGCTGGCACCAAGAGCGGTCACACTCTGGGGATCCTGCCAGAGGAACGTGATGTGAGTGGGTGGGCACCCCCAAAGGTGCCCCCACCACCTGCATTCCCCCAAAACAGGAGGCGCCTGGGGGGGAGACTTGGGGCTGGTCGGGGGTTGACTGTCCAAGCTGACTAGGAGAGGGCCCTGTGAGGGCGAGGGGCGTTCAGGGGAGCCGGGGTCTGGAAACCTGGTCGTCGGCATACATGTGGCGACTAAAGCTCCTGAACAGAAGAGTGAGTCACCAGGAGTGTTGCTGATGGAGGAAGCCACGACTGCGGCTCGGCCCCGGGGGTCTCCTGTTCAACTCCACCGGAGGAGCCCAGGGCCACCCGATTACTTCCTGGAAATGGAAATTGCTACAGAGCTTCCACGTCCCGCCACAAACAGGTTCCGTCCTTGGCCAGCCGGCCCTGAGCTCAGCGGCTCCGGGTACCCTCAGGACCGGGCCGCACAGAGATCTCCCTATCACCAACATGGCGGCTGGCGGACATGCTGTGGGCTTCCTTGAGGAGGCGTTGTCCGGATGTGGCTGATGACGCAATTTCCCCTTACACGTCATCAGAGCGACAGGATTCCTCCCTTGCCAGCGGCTTCACCCCTGCGCTTTGTTTGGACGCTCGCTCTTCCTGCGGAGGCTGAGCGGACACACCGGTAGGGGGTGGGAAAGTGTGATGACGCGGGTCTTCCACCGGAGGCGGTCCCACCCACAATCTGATCATCTAGCAGAGCCGCTCCCACGCACGGCCCTGAGGACGGCGGGCCCCGCTAGGCCGGACGGCCGGGCTCTGTGTCCAGCAGTGGGGAGGGCAGTGCCGCTCAGCAGTCTTTGCTGGGAGAAGGACCTCGGCTTCACCTCAAGCATAGATTTACAGACTGTTTCACCTTAGACTTCCCTGGTGGTTCCACCTGCAATGCAGGAGACCCAGGTTCAACCCCTGGGTCAGGAAGATCCCCTGGAGAAGGGCATGGCAACCCACCCCAGTATTCTTGCCTGGAGAATCCCATGGACAGAGGAATCTAGGGGTAAAAGAGTTGGACACGACTGAGCGACTAACACTTTCGCTTTTTGTTTTTCACCTTGAGTCCTAAAGATGGGTTAAGAGACCCTGAGATGCATGTCACTTAGTTCTTCAGGTAACTGTCTACCGCGTCTGCATACTTCACAGTGCAAGAAATTTCTGGTGCTCTCCCTTGCATGGCCCTTTGCCAAGCCCTGGAGATGACCTTCCTTGACCCTTCTCTCCATCCAATCCCAGACTGTCTCCAGGAGCCCAACCTCGGAGCTGGGTGCACCCTTCACAGAGGTGGCTGACCCCTCACCTGGGCTTGGATCCCCCCGCGAGCCCGGCACCCCGGCTTCTTTCTGCAGTGGTTGTGTTCTGTCTTACAGCATGGCTGTGTGGTCACCTGCACCAAGCCCAGGACAGAGACTTCTGAGCGCACCCCTTGGGGCTTCAGCATCTGCCTGGTCCTCAGCAGCACTTTGCACTGTGCTGGGGATGCCAGCTATTTGGGGAAACAAGCTAATGAATGAATCAGAATAAGCTGATTTGTATAATGCAGCCCTATAAGGAGCCAGCAATCCTACAAGGGGACGCATTGGGGTCAGTAGGCAGGCTGGCCAGGCCGCCTAGGCACAGTCGGCCATGTATCTGAGTCCCAGGTCTCCCCTGAGAAGGGAGGGGATTCGACCGGATGATCTGGAAAGTTCCAGTCAGTTTGTAAACACTGATGCCCTGGGTGGGAAGGAGGCAGTGGTAGGGGGCGCGCTCTGCAAGGTCAGCCTGGGTCCGGGGACAGAGCTGCATGTGGACGGCCTTGGTGCAGCCACATGGAGACCTGGTGGCTCACGCACGACCTGGCTCCAGCCTCGCTCTGCCGAGTGACGTGCAGCATCTCCTGCACCCGGACTGTGATTTTCCGAGTGAAAAGCAGAGGAAACACTTCCCCTCGTGTCTACTGGGTGGAAAGCTGGGGCGGGAGTGGCATCACCGTCCAGCAGGAAGCCAAGCAGCCAGTCCGTGGTGCCCAGCACCTGAGCAGGCAGGCAGCTTGCCCTGCAGGGTGGGGTCGAGCCCCAGGGCCCCCAGGGCTGCCACAAGTCACAGAGCTGGTCGGTCTGAGCTCGCCTCTGAAAAGATGAAGAGGAAGCCCCTCTCCCGCAAATGTAGCCCCCTTGGTCTGCGGTGAGGAGGGGCACACACCCCCGTGTAGGCGGGGACCCAGAGACTTGTGGGAGGAATACTTGCATCTCTCCACTGCTTCCCGCCCCACGTTTAAAACTCGCCGAAGGAAAGGAAAGTGACCTCGGCCTGTTTCCAAGCCCTGTGCTGTCTGCAGAAGCAGTGAGAGGCTCGTCCTCTCCCCGGGGGACTCGGGGTGCCGCTGTGGATGCCCTCTGCCTGCCTTCTCCTCCCAACACGGCTCCTGTCTTCCTGGACCGCGCCTTCCTCTGCTGTGCCTGGCGATCTCTGTGCACCACCCCGTGACCCATGTTACACTGGAGATGTCAGTCCTTTCCGGTACTTTCAGGTCGCACATTTTTAGGCCGCACAGCTTTCCCACGTTCCCTTCTCCAAGGCGTTTGTCTCCCAAGGAAGGGGGTAACTGTTCGTTGGGTTTCCCGTTTTGCTGGTTTGTTCTCCCTTGAACATGAGGTGTGCTCAGTTCAGCTCTCGCACCGCGTGGGGTCAGGGCTCCCCGGGGCCTCTAGCAGGTAGGCAGAGGGGTCGGGCGGGTGGGACTCAGCGCCAGGACTGGGCCTGGCTCTCACTCAGCACTGCACATGCCTGCGGGGAGTCTGAGCGAGCTTCAGTCGTTTCTGTCAATCCTGGCCTTTCCGAAGGGAAGGCTCTTTCCGCTCAGCCCGGGCGTCCCGTCAGGATCATCCCAGTGACTCGGCCTTGTTCCCTCTTGCTCTTTGCTTGCTGAGGTGTTTCTGCTTTCTTCCCCTTTCGCATCACGGTAAGACCTGTTCACCCTTGAAAATGCGTGTTTCTGGCTTTTAGTCCCTCAGGGAACTAAGTGGAGCCAGCTCTTAGGTTAGGTAGAAATCATTTAAGATTTTGTTTATCCCTTTGTTGAGAGTATCTGCCATCCATTAGCCACCTTCTTGGAAAAATTCCTTTAGCAATCCAGTCAGGATATTTCAATTGCACTAATAAGGACCGCCAAAGACCTGGAAGCATTTAAACATCTTTGGGTTTTCAGGAGTGTGATGTAAGGAGGGCAGTAAGCGTCAAGAGATGACCTCTTTTACCTCTGGGGGTCCGGCATGACTCCTGCAAGCCCCTCTGAAGAGTCAGAGCAGGGCCAGGTCTCAGCAGTGGGGGCCCTGTGGCCCCGGGCCCCCCGCCCACGGCAGGGCAGCCTCAGAAGGCAGGTGACCGCTCAGGCCTCGCAGCACACACAGCAGACCAAAGCTGGTGCCCATACCGTGGCTCACTGCAGGGGTGAGACGGGCCGTGTCTCTCAGGCGCCGGCTTCAGAGTGAGAGTGAGAGAGTGAGGCCTTCTCATGAAGGACCGGGGTCTGAGGAGACAGGGAGGCGCGAACGGCCCGCCTGGGCCTGGTGGGTCAGGCCAAAGGGGCTTCAGCATGCTGGGGGCCGGCGGGCTGCGGTGGGGAGGTCAGGAGAGAAAAGACAGACAGCCAGCACCTAAAGTCTGACCCAATTCCAGTCCACGTGAATGAAACGGAACTTCTTATACTTGAAACCCCAACAACCGAGATCAAAATATTTCAGAGATAAAAGGACTCCATTTTCCTAATCTATCTTTTTCTGCCTCATGTCTAATATGGTATTATTTTAAAATGCTCATATCAGACTTGCAAATCAGGTTTAAGATCATCAAGTAAAAATGTCCATCAGCCCATCAAACCCTCATCAGATCTCATCCTCGCTCACTAATTTCACTCTCTTCTCCCACTTTCTGAATTCTGGAACATCCTCCCAACTGGCATATTTTGATCATCTTTTGCTCTGTCATCTCTTAGCTTTCAGTCTGCCTTGAATACTTGCTTCAGTTCCCTTGCCTTTTTGGGTGACATGTGTTTTTCAGATGGAAACAGAGGCATTTTCATTCCCTGTGCCTTGTCTGAGGGTCAGAACAGCACTGGAGATGTAGAGAAACCCTCTCTTTATTCTCTGCCCGCCTCATAGCTCCAAGCAGAGCAGACCCTCACATCCTAGGCAGTCTAGTCTACAACAGAGCGCATTTTAACGTTCCTGGTTACATGCCGCACCGCCTGCAAGAAGCTGTACCGTGTCCCCTGGACGAGTTCTCAGCCAGGGTATTAGGGGCTGGGCTGTCATTTCCCCACAAATATCACATCTCCTGCAAAGCCCCTTTTGATTCCTCGAGTTTCTCAGTTTTGATTCCCGAGTTTCTGTCTTGGGGGTGACCTTCCGGGAGCCTCTAATGCTAACTTCCTGGTATCAGAAATGACAGTCTTGCTTTAAATCTTACATTTCATAGCATCTGATGCCTGTGGCCCTTGAGTCCCTTCAGAAAACTCTGTAGCCATTTCACCCACATGACTCTCCGCCCACTTGCCTCAGCACTGCGTGGCCTCAGGCCCTGAGATGCTGAAGGCAGACACGGCAGGCACCTTCCTCGTACCAACAAACAGCTCTAGCAGAGGGCAGGGTGAGCCGGGTGGTAAGGCCAGCGGAGAGGAAGCGACCCTTAAAACCCGGATAACTGGCTCGTGGGCCTGGGCCTCCGCACACTGGAAAGCATTCCGCCAACAGGAGGCTGCTCCAGCACTGTACGGCCTCTCAGGACGCGTGTCAGCTTCAGCTGGGCTTCCAAGCTGCTCTCCACACAGACCAGACTGCAGCCCAGTCGTCCACAGACCAGAGGAGAAAATGGCCCAACAGGCGTTTCTGCTGTGTGGTAGGCGCTAATAAATTGCATAAGCTAACATAAAAATCAGAGAAAACGCCTCCTTCAGAGTCCAGCCTGAGCGAGTGACTCAAGGCTGACAGTGAACTTGCATCTGATGAAGGCTGGTGTCCCGGTCCTGGAGAAGAGACTTGTGTTCATCATCTTCTGCTCCAGGTTGGTCTGGTCCAAAGACAGCTGGGAAGACGCGGGGCACAGAGGCGCGGTCTGGGGAGGCTTCTGCAAGGTAGACCCCCGCCCACCAGCAGCAGAGTGGCCAGGCTGGGGAGGGGTCCCCAGAAGCTGGGGGCTGCTTCTCTCGGAACCCTCAAAGGCAGGAAGGCTGTGACCTCTCTGTGGCCTTCGTCAAACATTCAGGCAAGAGCAGCCACGAAAGGCCGGTCCCCGGGCGGCCCGCGGTGATGGACGTGCGGACTCTCAGAAATCCATGGCACCTTTCCGGCTGCAGCTCATCTTCTCTGGACCAGGAAATAGTTTCATGAACAGCCTCAGCAAAGAAAGTCTCACAATTGGGCGTCAGCACCCCCAGGAACCTCTGTGAGAGCTGACATCGTGCGCGTGGAGAGAATGACCGCACACTTGACTCCCCGGGCTCGACGCTCCAGCCCCAC